CTTACTCGGTGTGTTTGTTCACCCACAGCAAGTATGGCTCATTCATATCATCGTCGACGAACAGCTCCTGAACGCTCCCGCTCCCGGGACGACAATATGTGGCAGAACCGTCGCACTCAGCAACATGATTGGCAACAAAATCCTCGACCTGAAGAACCTCCTCCTGCTCCTCGAGTCCGAAAGGTCTTGGTCATCGTTGACATTGAACAAGTCCGTCCGCTCATGAACAGAACCCATGATGACTCGATGGCCGCTACAACATGTGAGGTTCTCCCTCGCCTCACTCCGGTTGAAGAACGTGCATTGTTCACATTCAACATCCTGCTCAATACACACCGGTTGGAAACCTTCACGGTGTGCAACCTCTTATACTGCATCAGCCAACACATCTGGTATACGTGGGATCGATTCTTATCTCCTTCAGCTATGGACATCAGATGGCAAGACGATACTGGAGATACATTTGTTCTCCGCAACGAGGAATACCTCGTTACCTATCTGAACGCCTATCGCTCTCACTGGACTGAGGGACAAGAACATAGTGAGTTCTTTTCAAATCACATTCATTCCTTTACGTCTCACATTCAGCCTTACATCATGCGCGTGAGTTGCCATGAGGCTCTTCCAAACCGCAACATGCTTCCTTAAGTTTGAAAAGTCTCCTGCATTTAGGGACATGGGACTTTCCCGTTCGCAGGTGTGGTTTTGCTTTTGCTTGTTGTTGTTTTTTACCTGTTAAAGTCTTTAGCTCTTGGCTCCAGCTGTACCATGACCAAGCGTGATTCCTCATTTGCCGGTCTCACGCATCCTTCATCCTCCATGAGCAAGCCACGTCGTCCTTCATGGAGATCTCGCAGTCATGGCCAATCCAGTAGCACTGCTGCTCCTTCGGATCCGGTGCATCCGTCCCGTGGCGACAATGCTCCCCAAGCTGGAATTTCCCTCTCACCTACCGGATCAGGTGAGTACACACCTCACTATGGGTACTCTTCGGCAAATCTTGCCACACCCATACCATCTCCTGCCGATCATCAAGCTCCAATTCTCCCTACTCCTACAGGGGAATCATATCCACTCCAGCAAGAGATGGAAGAAGTCCGACGTCAGCTCCATGCATACTATTTTGTGGAAGTCCAATCACCTCCAGAAGACGACACCCAACCAGCGCTTCGCCGACTTATGGTGACGGAAGTGGATCGACGTGGCCGCCATCACAATAGGCAGCCGGAATATTTTTTCAACGGCATCATCGGCCACGTTCGTGCCGGCCAGAATGGCTGGATTGATTCATGGGATCAATCCTCCCAGCTCGCCAACTACTGGCGACGCTATTTTCAGATCCCTGAGATCTCTCCGTATGGAAATTGGCGTCCCCATCAAGATGAAGTTCCAGAAAGCCCTGAATCGGCACAAACATCCGTCATGGATGACACCGATTCTCTCATTGCCAATGCTGACATCAATCCACCTCCTGTCCAGATTCATCAACTGGCAACGTTTTTCTGGAACGTCCTCAACAATGACAGGGAGGCCAACATGGCCATACTCGAACGTCTTGAGGATCCTGAAGGAGATCTTTCCCGACACTTCTCGGCGGCAGACTTGGCTCATCTTGCTAGCCACTTGGCGGAATCTACAAGGACTTTGTCTAACCAGGCACGACGCATGGAGGCATTACCTGATGACGGCCTGTGAGCTTTAGGATTAATTCATTCGATGATTCTTCCCTGTATTTTGAAGCCATTTCCGCTTCAGGGAACGGATAAGAGCTTTCACTGCGGATGAACTTGAAAAAAGCCTCGCGGCAGCGAGGCGTGTGTGTGGAACAGCTGAAAAGATGTAAAACTTCCTGTGGCTCAACCTAGTTGATTTTCGAATTTTTGCTGTTACTTCTTACCTGCAGGGGGACACAGCATTTCACTGGGACTGTGTCCAACGAAGCTACCAGTGAAATGGGATATCCGGCTTGGCCAGCTGGACGTACCTGCACCAATTTTTCATTTCCGTCAATGGCAACCGGCCAAGCCAAGAACCGGCACGTCGATATTTTTCCACTTGAGGGTTGTGTATTGCACTTTTGTCGCTATCTGGACTTATTTGGTTATTTACAACTGGTTCAGCTACATCAGAACCTTCCTCTGAGCAAGGACGTAGAAAGCTTACTTCGCACTGAAATTCACGCTGGATCAACCAAGTTTTCCTGGCAGTTTTTAAGGGATTGTTTTGTGCACGTGTGATGCACTCCACAACAAAATTCGCAATGTTGTTTCTGAGCAAGTGTGTAAAAGCGTCTGTGTGCAAAAAGCGTCTGTGTGTAAAAGCGTCTGTGTGTAAAAGCGTCTGTGTGTAAAAGTGTCTGTGTGTAAAAGCGTCTGTGTGTAAAAGGGTCTGTGTGTAAAAGCGTCTGTGTGTAAAAGCGTCTGTGTGTAAAAGCGTCTGTGTGTGAAAGTCTGTGTGTAAAAGTGTCTGTGTGTAAAAGCGTCTGTGTGTAAAAGCGTAAAAGTAAAAGCGTCTGTGTGTCTTGTGTGTAAAAGCGTGTAAAAGCGTCTGTGTGTAAAAGCTGTGTTTAAAGTCTGTGTGTTCTGTGTGTAAAAGCTTCTGTGTGTAAAAGCGTCTGTGTGTAAAAGCTTTTGTGTGTAAAAAGCGTCTGTGTGTAAAAGTATCTGTGTAAAAGCTTCTGTGTGTAAAAGCGTCTGTGTGTAAAAAAGTGTCTGTGTGTAAAAACTTCTGTGTGTAAAAGCGTCTGTGTGGAAAGGAGTCTGTGTGGAAAAGCTTCTGTGTGTAAAAGCGTCTTTGTGTAAAAGTGTTTGTGTGTAAAAGCGTCTGTGTGTAAAAGTCTCTGTGTAAGTGTCTGTGTGTAAAAGCCTCTGTATGTGTGAAAGTGTGTGTGTGTACAAGAAAACGCGTTGTGTGTGTGTGTAAAGCTTCTGTAAACTAGTGACATGTCTGCAAACGTTTGCACAAAAGAAGGTCCAATACCATAGTGCAGTAAATGACACGCGTTATCTCATTTTATTCTGGGAAGATCCCACAGAAACTATCAAAAAAGGTCGGTACCATGATGCCGTGTATGACACATGCCATTTCATTTTAGTATGGAAAATCCCACATAAATGGCCCAAAAAAGCTCGGTACCATGATGCTGTGTATGACACATGTTATTTCATTTTATTATGGAAAATCCCACATAAATGGCCCAAAAAAGATCGGTACCATGATGCTGTAAATGACACATGTGACAATACTTCACTAGTGAAATGTCCGCAAACGTTTGCAACAGAGCTCCATGCCATCATGTGCTTGATGCCAAAAACAAAACCGTTTGAGTTCAGGACCATAAAATGTCATATAGAGACACTCTTCAAAAGCTTCTGTATGTAAAAGCCTCTGTGTATGAAAGTGTGTGTGTGTGTAAAAGCATCTGCGTGTAAAAGCGTCTGTGTGTAAAAGCGTCTGTGTGTAAAAGGGTCTGTGTGTAAAAGGGTCTGTGTGTAAAAGCGTTTCTGTGTAAACGTGTCTGTGTGTAAAAGCTTCTGTGTGTAAAAGCATCTGCGTGTAAAAGCGCCTGTGTGTAAAAGCGCCTGTGTGTAAAAGCGTCTGCGTGTAAAAGTGTCTGTGTGTAAAAGCTTCTGTGTGTAAAAGCATCTGCGTGTAAAAGCGCCTGTGTGTAAAAGCGTCTGCGTGTAAAAGCGCCTGTGTGTAAAAGCGTCTGCGTGTAAAAGTGTCTGTGTGTAAAAGCGTCTGTAAAAGTGTCTGTGTGTAAAAGCGTCTGTGTGTAAAAGTCTCTGTGTGTAAACGCGTCTGTGAAAGTGTTTGTGTGTAAAAGCGTCTGCGTGTAAAAGCGCCTGTGTGTAAAAGCGTCTGCGTGTAAAAGCGTCTGTGTGTAAAAGCGTCTGTGTGTAAAAGTCTCTGTGTGTAAACGCGTCTGTGAAAGTGTTTGTGTGTAAAAGCGTCTGTGTGTAATTTCACAACTTTTCCCTCCATAGCTCATATAAAATTCACCAACCATTCACCGACTATTTTTTACGACTACCATACTCAGAGCTGCTTGAAGGACGTGTTTTTCGCTCTCGGGCCAACCGTCGTCTAGTTTTTGCAGTTTTGGAGGTTGAACACCTGAACTTGCAAACTTCCTTGGACGAAACCTGCTGCAGCAACTGTGGCACATGAAAACGCGAAAAACTTCTGTTCAATTTTTCCAGTCTCTAGCTCTCCTGGCATCTCCCAAACGCGTCTGTGAAAGTGTTTGTGTGTAAAAGCATCTGCGTGTAAAAGCGCCTGTGTGTAAAAGTGTCTGTGTGTAAAAGCGTTTGTGTGAAAAAGTCTCTGTGTGTAAACGCGTCTGTGAAAGTGTTTGTCTGTAAAAGCGTCTGTGTGTAATTTCACAACTTTCCCCTCCATAGCTCATATAAAATTCACCAACCATTCACCGACTATTTTTTACGACTACCATACTCAGAGCTGCTTGAAGGACGTGTTTTTCGCTCTCGGGCCAACCGTCGTCTAGTTGTTTTG